TTGGCTCTGGTTGCTACTGTCAAAGTGTGTTTCTAGAAATAATGTTTCTTGTGTTTTGCTCACATGCTGTTTGAGTGGGGCACAGTTAGAGCGCTCTCCTAGTTACTGAATTATTCGGTTATGATATTTGAGCTCAACTGATACTTGCAATTCCCATGGAGAGATCAAGATGACAATGCGTTTAAGGTCAGGGACGTGACATCCAAGTTAGACTTTGAAGTTAGGCCTAGATTTGAATCAGTTCCTCCCCCGCCTAGTTGGTTATTTGTAATTTTGCTGAGCTTCCCTTTTCTCCCTTGTAAAATGGGAGGGTTGCTATGAAGAGTCTAATTTCGACCTAGTCCTGCAGGGGGAACCCTCAGTTGGAACCAGTAAAACAGTAGGCGCTGCAAAAATGGGATTGCTGCTGGTCCTCTTTGTTTTAGGTGGAATCTCCTTGTAAATGCTAAGGAGAGTTTCTTCTAGAAAAGTTTACCTGTTTATACATGTTCTAGTTAGTCTTGATGCGGGGCAACCGTCTTCTGAAGCCGATGGTCTCAACCTCGCTGTTGTAGTGTTGTTCACAGGTGTGCTGATTCGATGCATCTTTTTTGAGCAGCTTCTGTGTATGTATCAGGTACTATTCTAGGAACTAGGGAGACAGTAACAGAAAACAAAGTCCCTGCGTGCGTGGTGTGTATGCTCTAGTGAGAAAGACAGATAGTAATCAAACTAGCCAACTGACTGACTTCTTTGTACCTTAGGAGAGAGGGTGAGGGAGAGGAACACGGTTCTACTTGAAATAAAGTGGTCTAGCTGTTGTTCCCTTAAGCAGACCACTGAGTTAAGGTAAGAACCAAACCATCTGGGTGTCTTAGGAAATGATTTTTAAAGCAGAGGGAATATATCACACGAGTAAGTGCTTGAGGATGAATCAGTTTATTATATTTTTCTTTTTTTTTAAATGTGAAGACAATAAGACTTTGCATAAAATTTTATTTGTAATCTATTAACTTCTTGACCTAGTGCAACAAAAAATTTGTCCTACCAATATTTTTCTACATTTATTAATATTTATGTATATATAAAAGTTACAGTATACCTGAAATTCCTTTTTTTCCACTTAAGCGTTTTCCCATGTTGTTTAATAGTTCTATAATAAATTTAATAATATCAGTGATTCCATCAGGGCTTCATGTAGACCAATTTTAAAAGATTATATGCCTGAAGATGTTTACTAAAGCATTATTGATAGTTCCAAATACTGAAAACACCTAAATGTATTTGTAACAGTATATTCAGATTGCTTCTGTTGTCTGAGTAGAGCTGTAATGACTGTCTTTAAACATAGCATTTTCTTCTGTTATTTATGTAGATTAATTTCTAGGATTGAGATATTTATATATTTTAAAAATATTGATACACATTATCAAATGACTTTCTAAAAGAATAATGGAATAGTGACATTTATCTTTGTCACTAGGAATATAAAAATATGTGAATACCTCCATATGCTTTGCAGCATTGAGTATATATTTAACACTGTTTTTACTACTTACCTAATTAGAAATTAAACTACTAATTAGCAAAACTTGGAACTTCAATAGTTTCTTTTATGTTTCATTCCTAATCATCATGTTGAACACAGTACCCCTAAAAGTATTTCTTCTTGGGCTAGTTGTCTATTTGTGAAGCAGACTTATTTCAAAGATTTTTAAAAGCAGTCACCATGGGTTTCTTATCTTGCATCATCTGGACACAGGATCTTTAAGAGCCAGGGGTTTTCTAATCTGCACCTAACAGTGAACATTTCAAGTATTAAAATGAAAGCACTTATACCTCAATACATCTCTTTTTAAGCTTTTTATTATGGAAATTTCAATAAATACCAACATTTTGCCAAACACATTTCCTGTAACCACTACTAAACCACCTAGCCTTTTCTTTTGAGGGAATAATTTAAAAGCAAATCCTAAAAAATCATATCATCTCACCACTAAATACTTCAGCACACGTCATCTCCAACTGATAAACACCCTTCATACTTCACAAAATTAACAGTTCCTTATTTTCATTTAAAACCCACATCCAAATTTCTAAAGTTTCTAGATGGTGTTATTCAGTTGCTTTGTTTGAATCAGGATCCAAGCAAGATCCTTTATGTACTGCCTTTGACTGCTTTATCCCTCAAAATTTTGAGTTCTGTAACAATCCTCTCTTCCTCACTTTTTTGTAGCATTGATTCATTAAGAAACTGGAACCTATGTTCTGTAAAATGTCCCATATTCTTGATTTGACTGGCTACTGCCTCATGATGAAGTTTACATTATTTGCTCTATCTTCATCTTACCGCGCCTTCTCCTGTATTTTTTGTAAATTGTTAGTTTAGACCTAGAGACTTGATTCAGTTTAGGTTTAGTATTTAGGGGAGAATAGGTCATAGATACTGGCTGCTATGTACTTGTTGTTGAGTCATGTCTAGAGGTATGTAATGACTGGTTGACCTACTTTTGAAAAATGAAAGTGTTGCTTGCTCAGTCCTGTCTGACTCTTTATGACCCCATGGACTGTAGCCCGCTAAGCTCCTCTGACCATGGCATTCTCCAGGCAAGAATACTGGAGTGGGTTGTTATTCCCTTCTCCGGGGGATCTTCCTGACCCAGGGATCGAACCCAGGTTTCCTTTATTGCGGGCGGATTCTTTACCGTCTCAGCCACCAGGGACGCCTGACCTGCTTTCACTGATGCTAAGACTGACCACTGGCTGCAGGCAGTGTCAGCAAGCAGTGTCAGCCTCACCCCTCCATTCTCAAGCTCCCTGTTGACGATCATTGCCTATCACCGGTGATCACAGTTGTAAAATGGTGACTTTTCCATCACTCTATCAGCACTTATTAGATGGGATTATATAAACAGTAACACTTCATCATTAACTATTTAGTTATCTTGAAATACATCTCATACAGGAAAACTGAAAAAATGTTTTACTATGAATAAATGGTTTTACCATGAATAAATGCTTTTATAACCTTATTGAAAAAATTTTAAAAGATTTTTGTAGCTCTTTTTAGAATACAGCCTATGTATAAATAAATTATACAGTCAAAAAACTGTGTTTTAAAGCCATTGAATGAATTATTGCCTTCTTTAGTCGTGTTATCAATTTGATGTATGGTCAATTTGCTAAAACTTGATTAAAATTTTAGAGATTGATTTTTCTTTTTTTTTTTTTTACATTTTATAAAACAATAATTGAAATCATATATCCAGTTTGGAACTCCTTGATTTAGTTATATTTTTCTGATACATGATTAGCAAATATTTTCCTCAGTTTCTCTTTGTCTTTGTCTTTGCTAATGATCCTTTTTGGTAAGTCATTCCTATATATTTTTAATGTAGCTCAATTTATTAATCTTTAGCTTCCTTTTGAAATGTGAGCCAATTTTATCTCAGTTTTGTATTCCCCAGTTAAAGAGGAACCCATCCATTAGAAAACCGCATTCTTTGTCTCTTTGGGGCTGTGCTGGGCCTGCTCACCGCGAGGGCGGCTCTCCAGCTTTGGCAGGCGGGCTCCTCCCTAACCGCGGGGCGCGGGCTCCTCCCTGCAGCGGCTCCTCCTGTCCTGGGAGACGGGCTCGAGGGCGCTGAGGCTCCGGTAGCCGCGGCCCCCGGCTCTGGGGCGCAGGCTCCACGGTGGTGGCACACGGGCTCGTTCGTTCCGTGACGCGTGGGATCTTCCCAGACCAGGGCTCGAACCGTGTCTCCTGCCTTGGCAGCTGCAGTGTTTACACTGAGCCACCGAGGAAGCCCCCATCCGTTTCTAATTCACCTGTTTGTATGGTTTGAATTATTACATTGGATTTTGCACCAATTTGGAAATTTTTATTTAATATTGCTTTCTTTTTAAATATTAGGCACTTTTCTCCCCGCCCCCCCCCGAGATACTGTTTTAGATACTGGGGATTATAAAGTGACCAGACCAAAAATACTTAGTTTCTTTCAGAGCAAACATTCCAGTGAGAGAGAAAAGGCAACGAAAAAAAGATGCAGAGATAGATACAGGCTGCAGAGGTTCTGTCTGATTCGAGGACCTTCGAGCTGATTTCTGGAACGCGAGGCGGGCCTCGCCATATCAAGGCCTGGGAATGCAGAGGCCGATGGAATACTTAATGCAGAGGCGCTGAGGAGGAGTAGACCTTAACGCTTATTAAATGCTTGCCCAAATCAGGCAGGCTCCCCTGGTGGCTTAGTGGTAAACAGGAGACGTGGGTTCGATCCCTGGGTCAGGAAGATCCCCTGGAGAAGGAAATGGCAGCCCATAGGCACTTTTCTCCCCGCCCCCCCCCGAGATACTGTTTTAGATACTGGGGATTATAAAGTGACCAGACCAAAAATACTTAGTTTCTTTCAGAGCAGACATTCCAGTGCGAGAGAAAAGGCAACGAAAAAAAGATGCAGAGATAGATACAGGCTGCAGAGGTTCTGTCTGATTCGAGGACCTTCGAGCTGATTTCTGAAACGCGAGGCGGGGCTCGCCATATCAAGGCCTGGGAATGCAGAGGCCGATGGAATACTTAGTGCAGAGGCGTTGCGGAGGAGTAGACCTTAACGCTTATTAAATGCTTGCCCAAATCAGACAGGCTCCCCTGGTGGCTTAGTGGTAAACAGGAGACGTGGGTTCGATCCCTGGGTCAGGAAGATCCCCTGGAGAAGGAAATGGCAGCCCACTCCAGTATTCTTGCCTGGAGAATCCCATGGACAGAGGAGCCTGGTGGGCTACAGCTCATGGAATTGCAAAGTCTCAGGCACCATCTGGTGACAGAACACACAACAAGCGTGAACCAGGCCCGACTGAGAAATCGCTGCACTGTCTCGTGGGTTTCTTCTAACAGGCCTTTGACGTAGGTGTCTGGTAGCACATCCTGAACGTGGGAGAGTTTACGTCATTGCCCTCTTCTCCGTCTCTAACTTGGTTTAAGGTCTCAAACCGCAAGAGCAAACCCTTGCTTCCCCTCTCTCCAGGCTTTCACGAGAAGGACAAGAAGCCGTATTGCCGGAAGGACTTCCTGGGCATGTTCGCACCCAGGTGTGGCGGCTGCAACCGGCCAGTGCTGGAAAACTACCTTTCGGCCATGGGCACCGTCTGGCATCCAGAGTGCTTCGTGTGCAGGGTGGGCCTACTCCCTTGTCTTCTGCGTTTCGGGAGAGGCAGGGTTCTCCTTTCTGGGGTGCAGCTGGTAAGAGGGTTCACAGCTCAGGGCGAGAGTTTGACAGGGGCTTCTTAAAAGAAATACAAGTATTTCTCGGCCATGAGAAGGATGAAATAATGCCATTTGCAGCCACACGGGTGGGCCTAGAGATCGTCTTACTGAGTGAAGTCAGGCAGAGAAGAAGTACATATTGTGACATCCGTCTGTGCGGAGTCTAAAGAGAAACAGGCTGCCGTCCATGGGGTCACAAAGAGTCGGGCACAACTTAGCAACTGAACAACAACAGAAGCAATGAATTTATTTAGAAAGCAGAAACAAACTCACAGACTTAGTGAATTTATGCTTGCCGAGGAGGTGGGGAGGGTGAGCAGGAGGGAAAGTTAGGGAGTCTGGGATGGATATGTACACCCTGCTATGCTGAAAAGGGATAACCAACAGGGACCTACCGGATCGCACGGGGAACTCTGCTCAGGGCTACGTGGCAGCCTGGATGGGAGGGGAGTTTGGGAGAAAATGGATACATGTTTATGTGTGGTTGCGTTCCTTTGCCGTCTACCTGACACCATCACCGTCTTGTTCATTGGCTGTGCTCCAATACAAAATTAAAAGTTTCTTTGGAAAAAGAAACACGAAACACCCCATCCACATGGGCATTTGCTCCTCTGGTTTGCAGAGGGGCGATATTCTAACCTCTGTGTGTCCACTGGTGGGAAACCGGCAGGGATTTCCCGGCTGAAATCTTGCTGATACTTTCCTTCTTGACATCTGCACTCCTCGTCTTTCTCTCCCCCCACCTCCCAGGACTGCTTTAGCGGTTTCTCTACCGGCTCCTTCTTCGAACTGGACGGGCTCCCCTTCTGTGAGCTGCACTACCATCAGCGCCGGGGGACCCTCTGCCGCGGGTGTGGGCAGCCCATCACGGGCCGCTGCGTCAGCGCCATGGGCCACAAGTTCCACCCCGAGCACTTCGTGTGCGCCTTCTGCCTGACTCAGCTGTCCAAGGGGGTCTTCAAGGAGCAGAACGACAAGACCTACTGTCACGCCTGCTTCAGCAAGCTCTTCCCCGTGTGATCTCAGCTGAACCCACACACGCCCTCTTCCGATCTGCGTGAAAATTGAAGCCAAGAGAGGCAAGCGTACATTTCTAGTTCCTGACTTTCTGCTCAGTAGGCTTAGAGAGAAAGCCGAGGTGATGGACAAGGAAGGGAGCGTCTAGAGGTGACGTGACTAGGCTTGAAGTTTTGATCTCAAGCCTTTTTTTTTTTTTTTTAACAATGCAGTTGAATTTTGATCTGGGGCCTGCTATCTAGGGCCTCGGCAGGTGTATCTTCACATGCACGCATCCATTCCACTCCTGCCCTCCTCAGCTCTCTCCACTCTCACCTCTATTGATGGTCCTGCAGATCCATCTTCTCTGCTTGGCCTTAGGAACTGGGTCTTTTCAGCTACCCCCGTTTCCCTGTGGCTGACTTTCCCACAGTCACTGCTGCGGGCTTTGTTCCTGCTTTTTTTAATAGGAGGATGATTGCTTTACAACATTGTGCTGGTCACGGTAGGGCTTTATTCTTGCTGTTAGGCATCATGTGTCACTCTTAAGTTCCTTGTCTTTCCCTTCAGTGTATTTCTCCTTTTCAAGAGAAAGTAGATTTTAACTGGAAAACTTTGAATCCTGACATCACTGATAAATAAAGGAACTTGTGGTTTTAATGACTCAGTGTCATATTAGTTTGATAAATTTTCTGCTTCCCAAGTTATATACTAGACACAATGTGCAATTAAGTGTGTATCATACCCCTTGTTTACTTCCATACAATGGGCCCTTTTCTTTAAATCAGAAGAAATGAAAAGGAGGGACTCCTAGTCATTGACTTTTAATTTAGGCCTGTAGCTTTCACTTTATTTTTTTGCACTTAAGTGATTGATTAAAAGATGGCAAAGCTTCTTAAATTTTTTTTTCATTGCTTTGTTTACATTTGTAGGAAAACAGTTTCCACTGGGCTGTTGTGAATTCATATTTGCCTGTGCATGCATATCTCCAAACTCATAAAGTTGTATGTATTTGTTCAATTTTCTTGTATATCAACTATATCTCAATAAAGCTATTTTAAAAAGTGAAATGTGCATCTTTCTTCGACTTCACAGTTGTCACATGAAAACAAGCAAGATGGCTGTTCTTAGAGCATCTCTGAAGAAGGATGCTTTAAACCTCATTTCACCATTTTTCAGTTTGGATTAGGAAATCCAGCCCCCGCCCCGCCCCCGCAAAAAAAAACAACTCCGCTTAGTTATTTGTTCCTCTGAAAAATCTTATGAGTAAACGTGTAGAAAAGCTTGTCAGACTATTCAAGAGTCTGACTTTCTCAAGTTCTTCCTCAAGTCAATTTTAAAAGGAGTCATGCTTCCTCAAAAGAAATCTTGATACACTCTGTAACATATCTCTCTTACCATGATATTAAAAATAAATGTATAATTATTTGTTATGAAAAAATTTTAAATCACTGAGGAAATCCCCTTCCCTGGAAGTATTTTTTAAAAATAGGACTGAATTTTTAAAATAGACGGAAGTCTTTAGAGTATTAATATGGGGACAGAACTTCTAGGAGGGCAGAAATGGATGAAATGATTCTTGCCAAGCTTTATCCTATTGCCCTTCTTTATTGGAGTGAAGGATAAGGGGGATTTGAGGGTTAAAAGGAAGTGGTGACAGTGACATTCAACAAAATAGGAACTCCAAATGCACCCCAGCTGTGAGGGAGGCTGATGAGACAGGGAGCCAGCTGGCCTTTCGTCCTATTTCGCTGGCTGAGTACCAGACTAAGCAAAATACATGTTCCGTTTCTAAACATCCTGTTGACTGCATATGACTCTGTGATGGTGTTTGCAGGTGTTAATATGGCAGGGTTCATGGTTGGTTTGGGGTTTGACAAAAGCAACTTGGGGTTTTAACCAGAAAGAATGTTCAGGTGGTAACTTTTTTTTTTTAAGGATTGGCTATTTTGAGATTTCTGTAGAACCTATGTATTTAAAAATGTCAAAGAAAAACCACAGTTTACTAAGGTGAAATTAAGAAGTGAAAATTTTTATTTTCATAATGAAAGTGGTTTTATATTTGTCCAAAAGGGGATTCTGTCTTCTGGACTAATGTTTTAGCAACAAGGAAACCACTCAAAAGTTAAAAGTTCTCCTTTTTAAAAAAGTTAATACTTCTCTCATATTGATATGTACCTGTTTACTCAGTTCTGAGTAACTTGTAGGTTTTATTTTATTAATTAAATTTTTTTTTTTGGCTGTGCCACGTGGTTTGCAGGACCTTCATTCCCCAACCAGGGATTGAACCCAAGCCTCCTGCAGTGAAAGTGCAGAGTCTTAACCACCAGACTGCCAGGGAAGTCTCCAAAATTTTGTTTTTATTTTTTGGCCGTGCCATGCAGCATGCAGAATCTCCGTTTTCTGACCAGGGATTGAACCTGTACCTCCTGCAGTGGAAGCATGGAGTCTTAGCCACTGAACTGCCAGCGAAGTCCCCTTATAGCTTCTAAAAAATAAAACCTACTCTCAAAAGACAACGTTTTTCCTACCCATGAGGATATATATTTTTATAGAAGAATGTGCCATTGATTGAGAACTCTGTTCTCAAGGAGGAATCACTCAGTTTGGCCAATGGTCCTTTGGAATAGAGTCCTCCAAGGAGATCCTTAGGCAAAGACAACAATCATTTTTCCTACGAGTTCTAGCATGTGAACTTGTAGGATGGCTGCTGGGCATAAGCTCCCTGTTTGTGACCAGTGGAGGGAGACAGAGCGCTTTTCTCTAGCTTTGCAAGCAAAAGTCCTGAGATTCATCCTAACGGCACTAGCTTAGACCACATTAAAAAACAAAAAAAAAAATCACTCAGCCATCTCTGACTGTGCAACCTCAAGAAGTGTGGCCCGCCAGGCTCCTCTGTCCATGGGATTTCTCAGGCAAGAATACGCGAGTGGGTGGTCTTCCCCTTTTCCGGGGCCTGGGGGTGGGGTGGGGGTGGGGTCTTCCCAACCCAGGGACTGAACCCGTGTCTCCTACATTACTCTCAGATTCTTTACTGCCTGGGCCACCAGGGAAGCCCGCATAGCCACAGTGACTTTTGCTGGGGGAACTGTGCTATGCAGCCCGCCTTAAACCAAGCTAGATCATTTCCAGAGTTACGGTCAGGACTAAGTTTTTAAAAACACAAGGGCCCTGTGCAGGAGATGTGGATACTTAAAAAATCTGGGGACTGGCCAAAAGAGGTCAATGAATCTTGACTCTGTATGAGTATATATGTTCAAGAGCAGAAGAGTTTCAAGGTAATACAGAAGGTAACCAAGCAGATCTTTCCGGTGCCCTGAGGGGACATGCCCGAGAACTTCACAGAACATAAAAGTGGAGGGGAGCCCGGAGTGAGGATGTGAGGGAAACACGCGGCGGATACTGACCTTCCCTGGGGCCCGGGTGGGAGGCAGGGGCGGGCACAGCAGTAAGAAACATCCCAAGCAGCTTCAGTTTGAGAATCTGAGAAAGAGATCTTCTAGCTGAAATAATAGTGAGAAAGAGTGACAACTGTGTTTAGGGGCAAGCGTCGCAGGTGTGTGTGTGTGTGTGTGTTCAGTTACTCAGTTGTGTGAGTCGCTCACTCTCTGCGACCCTGTGGGCTGTAAATCACCGGGCTCCTCTGTCCAGGGAGCTTTTTAGGCAAGAATACTGGCTCTGTTAGTCACTCAGTTGTGTCTGACTCTTTGCGACCCCATGGACTGTAGCCTGCCAGGCTTTTCTGTCCATGGGATTCTCCAGGCAAGAACACTTGGAGAGGGTTGCCATGCCCTTCTCAATTGGATCTTCCCAACCTAGGGATAGAACCCAGGTCTCCTACATGGCAGGCAGATTCTTTACCCTTTGAGCTACAAGGGAAGCCTGTTAGGTGTCAGCAGGTCCTTAACAAGAACAGAGGTGGCAGTCATTAAAATAAGAGACAGAAAAAGTGACTACTTGCCCTCAAAATGCTGTGAGGTTAGTGTTCTTAGATAAAACTCTCCATCAGAGTGGCATGTGCGTGCTGAGAACCCAGAGGTCAAAGGGGAAATGGAAATCTACTGGGAGACATTGGATCAGCAGGGAAGAATCCTCAGACCAGTGCTGGAGCTTGAGCTGTGCTTGTTACAGATGTACAAGTTAGCCAGAAGGCAGCAGTGTCTCAAATCTGTTCTCAAATCTATACAGAGCGACGTAAGTCAGAGGAGAAAAACAAATATCGTGTTTTAACATATATAGGTGGACTCTAGAAAAACAGCACTGATGAACGTATCTGCAGGGCAGGAATAGAGACGCAGACATGGAGAACAGACGTGTGGCCCCGGGGGCGAAGGGCTGGGAGGGACGGACTGGGAGATTGGGCTGACATACACACACCACCACGTGTAAAATAGGGAGAACCTCTGTGGCATGGGGGGTCAGCTCGGTGCTCTGTGATGGCCTCGGGGGGCGGGAGGGAGGTCTCAGAGGGAGGCCGTGTGTGTATGCACACAACTGTGTCACTGTACAACAGGAAGTAGCACCACGTACTGAAGCGATTACACTCAATAAAACAGGCGCTGAAACTCACGCTACGTAGGCTGCTGTGTCCAGGCCCCTCCGTAGAAGATGGCTAAATCTGTAATGTCGCTGTAATACTGTGTATTTGCAGTGAGAAAATGTTTTAAAAAACTTGATGTGCTACTTGCAAACAAAAAAGAAAGACAATTTGGAAAATGATAAAAGAATTACATTTACCTTTATCCTGAAAATTGATACTTGAAGAAAATCAGGTTAAAAAGGGTTGAGGAAGAGAAAGAAGATAGTTATAGTAATTCTGAGAGGAGCTTGTAGGGACACTTTTCAATGTTTTGGAGGCTGAGGGTGAAGGTTCCATTGTGTCCAATGACACTTGGGAAAGATGACTGTCCCTGGCTGGCCCTTCCGTCTTCAGACAGGAGTTCAGAGATATTGGAGGCTCAGAAATGAGGTGTGCTTAAGGTGTGCCTGCAAGGGGTGCTTGGAGGGAAAAAGATTTTCCTCAAATAATCTGAAAGTTTTGAAAGAGAGGGGAAAAGAGAAGGGAAGGGAGTTATGGGCTCTATAAATGCATGTGTGAGTTGGACAAGTTGAAAATTCTGGTGCTTCCAGGAGACATGGGGAGGCAAGAAGGGTGGCATACAACACGCTGTCTGTGGGGGAAAGAGACAGTGGTGGGGCGGGCCGCATCACCCAGCTCATGCCCTTGCACAGAGTCAGCCTGGAGCACCTCCTAGTTTGGGCTCTCCAGGAAGTGGACCGGAGACTGGGATGTGTGAGCAACAGCTTATTTAGAAGCGTTGTGGGTGCACGGGTGGGAGGGTGGGGAAGTGAGACAGGGACTAACATGCACTAGCAGCTTACTGGGGTGGAAGTTCGGAGCTCAAAACTCTTGACTTCTGGGGTTTATCAGACCACACGCGATGACAATCCCCCACCCAGCCTCTGCTGCCTCTGGCCCGCCCTCCTCACAAGCTGAATATGCTTCTGACCAAAGAAAGCCCTGAATCCGAGTGACAGGCGCTTTCAGTAGGAAGCACCAGCTTGCCCTAGGTAGTGAGCATCAGCAGACACAGGAGCTTAGAGCATCGGTGGGGGAGTTATGAGGAGGTAAGCCGCTCAGAGGAGAGTCGTTGGAAACG